ACCTGGATCTTGAATCTCTGTCATTCTGACTATGGAATATAGCCGTGATGGCGAACCTATGACACGCATGCCACAGCTGTCATGCAGAACCCACTCTGCGGTCATGCGAGGTGTCGTCCAGCTTAGCTCCACTGCACATACGCACATGCCTCCCACCAGCCAGCTGATTTTTGGGATGCGCGGGGGACAAGGTGAATGCAGGAGACTGCGCACATGCACACGGGAGTCATGTGTGCATGCACGGGTGGGAGCAGCACCCCCCCCCATGGCCCGTTTTTGGGCGCAGGAGGCTGCAAAGAAGCCTGCTAGGCCAAAAATGGGGGTGGAGGGGTCATGCGTGCATGTCCAGGGGGGATGCATTGCATTATGGGAGCCGGCACAAATGCGTGCAATCACGCGCACGTTTTCGGCACCTGACGGGAAAAAGGTTAGCCATCCCTGGAATATAGTCTTTGCTATCAGAGAAAGGTTTTGTGAGAAGATGGCTAGGCAGAAAGAAAACAGAAGCATCAGATAACATCCACTAACAACAATACCAGGCTGGCCCCTGTCATGCTTTAAACTCCTTTTCTGTGGTCATTTTTAAAGTGTGAGAAGGGGGGATTGTTTAATTAATTCAATTGCATTCAAATTTAATTACATTTAAAATGTAACTTTTATTCTGCCTCTACTTCTTTCTTTGCCCAGATCCTGCCCACTTTTTGACATGCAAGACCTGGCATTATCTGGAGGCATCAAAAATCTGTGCCCTTTAAGGCAAGACATCTCAGATCTCTTAGAACTGGGAATGACCAAATGAATGTCCCCAAGCTTGAAGCCCCAAGATCTGTGCAAGTCTCGGCGTCCCTGGTCATCTCCCAAAGATGAATTTTGAACGAAAAATGCACAAGGAGAAAGAGTGGGTAGATATCTTCCAGGATCACTTGCCTAGTTAGTGAGGAAAAGAATAACTTCACGGGCATTTACATCTTTGGAATATGCCATGTCTTTCATGCTGAGGTTTTCTTGGAAACAGGTCATTTGGATAACCCTTTTCTAAATTATGTTTTAGGGTTTATTGTTCTGGAATTGCTGAGAAGTAGGATAATGATCCAGCAACCCACTTGCAGGCCATAGCATCTTGAGTTGGTGTAAAAGGAAGAGGGAACGGCCTTGAGAGACAGGTGGAGGAGCTGTTGCCAAGGCAACGATCAGATAAAAGAAATTCAAGTCCAGAGCAGGAATGTAATGTATGTAAAAGTCTGAGACAGGCTCCTTCTTAATTCTAATAGTTATTTTCACAAAATAACCTTGGGAGACATGAGGAAGAGCCACAGCCTAGCCCTAGAGAATGGTCCAATAAGAGAAATCTGAATCCAAGCAGGAGTGGGAATGGAGAAAGCATCTGATCTGTCCCCGTCCACACACACACGCACAAACACAGCCAGCCGAGGGTTAAGGAAGCACTTGGCACACACCCAGGTCTTTATCTCCAACTTGGCAGCGATATACACACCGTCTGCCAAGTGCTTTTATTTCCACAGAAACAGAAAGATAATATACTCAGGGTACAAGAGTCCAACAGAAATAATATTCCTCTCAACAGTTTCGGACGATGCTTTAGTGACTATCCAAGGTTTATTTTTGTTCGTCACAGGGATCACTGGCCACCACCCTCTATTATATAGTCTCTGGGGTGTGGTCCAGTGACTCAGTTCTAATCCCTAGCACGCCTCCTGAGCTGCTGCAATCGTTTATCACGCCTTCGGAGGCGTGCATCCAGGAATGACGTCTCTCCTTCACTCTCATCCGAGACACCTGTCTCCCGGCTAATCTCCTCTCCCTCGGCCGGCTCCTGAGACAGTGCCAGAGGGGAGGGGCCTGGAGAGGGAGGCCTGGCTGACTCCTCTTCCTCATGCTCGGAGCTTTCTTCCTCCGATGGGATAGGCTCAGAGGGCGGGGCCACAACAGCATCTCAGAATTAACCCTATGTAGTTTGCTGTGGCTCAGCAGTTAAGACACTAAGCTTGTAAGCTAGAGAGCTGACAGCCCAGGTTCAAGACCCGAGCTCCACGCAACGGGGTGAGCTCCCATTATTTGCCCCAGCTCCCTGCCTGCCTGGCAGTTCAAAAACATGCAACTGCAAGTAGATAAATAGGTACCACTTCGATGGGAAAGTTACACCGTTCCGTGTGCTTTTGGTGTATAGCCATACTGGCCACATGACCACAGATATTGTCCTCGGACAACGCTGGCTCCCTTGGCCTAGAGTCCGACACAACTGGACAGGGAAACCTTTACCTCTTTTAGCTTGCTAGAATGTAAAGGCAGGGGAGGGGGGAAATGCTTTTAGATATGCATGTTTTTTTACTGTAATCTTATAACAAAGGTAATAGTAGTACTTCCTGTCTGAACTACCAAGAACACTGGTGGTGAACCTTTTACTCACCGAGTGCCAAACAGATATGCGCTTTGCGCACATGCGTGTGCCATCCGTGCTAACGTGCAGCTCCCCCGTGCAATCGCACCATCTGTGCATGTGTGTGGTTTTCATTCGTGCAGTGCATACACGTGAACGCCATCTGCACATGTGTGCGCTGCATGCAAGTACTCTCACGCGCATGCCCAAACGCATGTGCAGGAGAGCTCCAAAGACCAGCTGGGTCCCCTGAATTGCACGCATGCACACCAGAGGCCTGAACACCAGCAGAGGAGCGTATGCATGCGCAGCTGCAGGTAAGTTGGGCAACAGCTCACGTGCCCGGAAAGGTGGCTCTGTGTGCCACCTCAGGCACGCATGCCATAGGTTTGCCATCACAGACCTAGAACAATGTTAGAGTTTATTTATTTATTTTTATTTTATTTTATGTGATTTGTATGCCGCCCTATCTCCGTAGACTCAGGGCGGCTCACAACAATAAAAACAAACCCAATAAAACATAAAATACATACAAAATACATAAATGTATAAATATAAATTTAAAACATATATTAAAACCCATTAAAATAATCAAAAAACCCCTCCGTCCGATACTTTGCTTTGTTGCAATGATGTGAAAAATGGTCATAAGCCACTTTTTCCAGTGCTGTTGTAACTGTCAGGGTTCGAACCAGGGGTGAAATGCTCCCGGTTCAGACCGGATCGCCCGATCCAGTAGCAATGGAGACGGGTGGTTCAGAGAATCTGTAGCAAAAATCCCTGCCCCCCCCCCAATTGCCCAGCTGAGCTGGGCAATCATCAGAGGCTTTTTTTATTTATTTTTAAAAGCATTTTTTCTACAACCTCTTTGGCCGAAAAAATGCTTTTAAAAGTAAAAAAAAAAAAGCCTCTGATGATCGCGTGGCTCAGCTGGGATCATCAGAGGCTTATAAAAAAAAAAAGCTGCTGCTGATCAGGCAAGTCAGCTGGGATCGTCAGAAGCTTTTAAAAGCACTTTTTTACAACCTCTTCAGTCGAAGAGGTGGTAGAAAAAATGGTTTTAAAAGTAAAAAAAAAAAGTTGGCCATGCCCACACAGTCATATTACACCCCCCCCCACCAAGCCACACCCACAGAACCGGTAGTAACGAATTTTACATTTCACCACTAGTTCGAACGGTCACTAAATGAACTGTTGTAAGTTGAGGACTATCTGTATTGTAGTCCTATCTAGGGATTGGATATTATCTTGGTGTTTTAGCCAAAATTGCAAGCATGCAAAACTTTTGGGACTGCTAAATTTTCTGGGACATTTTTCCCCCCCAATAAAACATACTAGTTTCTTGGTAATCTGAGTGTTTCCTCCTGCAGAGTTTTCTGCCTTATGCAACAGTTCTGTCTCATTGAGAGCACATTAAGGAAAATATGTTAAAACATCCTCTGACAGTCCTGTTTTTTAATGATTTATTAATAGTTAAGTGGTCACCAGCCGTGTTGTGGGGAGATAGAACAAATCTTAACACGCTCCTTTTCATTGGAAATAAATAAAAGCAGCTGGAGGCAGAGGGTTGGGGGAATTGAAACTCATTTGTCAGATATATTCCGTGCATTTGGGTTAAAGACCTTTAGGACAGTGGTGAAATATAAAATTTGTTACTACTGGTTCTGTGGGCGTGGTTTGGGGGGGTAATGTGACTGGGTGAGTGTGGGCAACTTTTTTTTTTTTTTACTTTTAAAACCATTTTTTCTACAACCTCTTCGGTCGTAAAAAAATGCTTTTAAAAGCCTCTGACGATCCCAGCTAAGTTGCCTGATCGGCAGAGGCTTTTTTTCTTTTAAAAGCATTTTTATACAACCTCTTCGGCCGAAGAGGTTGTAAAAAAAAAAAGCTTTTAAAAGCCTTTGATGATCCCAGCTAAGCCACGGGATCATCAGAGGCTTTTGTTTTAACTTTTAAAAGCATTTTTTCAGCCGAAATGCTCCTGGTTCGGACCGGATCACCTGATCTGGTAGCGATGGAGGCGGGTGGTTCGGAGAACCGGTAGCAAAAATCCCTGCCCACCCACCCCCCATGCCCAGCTGAGCCGCGCGATCATCATCTTTTTTTTAAAAAAGCCTCTGCCGATCAGGCAACTCAGCTGGGATCATCAGAAGCATTTAAAAGAAAAAAAGCCTCTGCCGATCAGGCAACTCAGCTGGGATCGTCAGAGCCTTTTCAAAGCATTTTTTTACAACCTCTTCGCCGAAGAGGTTGTAGAAAAAATAGTTTTAAAAGTAAAAAAAAAAAATTGGCCACGCCCGCCCAGTCACATTACCCACCCACTAAGCCATGCCCACAGAACTTAGATTTCACCACTGCCGGGGGGGGGGGGTGTCACGTGATCTCCTTTCTGACAAGCAAAGACAATGGGGAAGCCCAGATTCATTTAGCAACCAAAAGTTTAGGCTCATTTGTGGCCTTAAGTCGAGGGCTATCTGAAAATTTATAACTCTTGGCCTTTCCAAAGGTAGAGTTAAAAGTAGAGTGATGATTGCCCCTTTTTCCTTCAGGGAGAAAGAAGGTATGCACATTTTAACAACGTGTATCTTGTTTTATAATGCAGGTGTAATGCAGATCACTTTGTATGGTGGGCCACGGCCAAAAGCTACGGATGGCACTAGTCTCCTCTAGAGTCCACCCTGGGATTATTCCTGGAAGTGCTAAAAGCATTTAAGAGGACACCTTTGGGACTGTTGCTTCCAAGGGCACTTCTGCAGCGGTCATGGCAAGCAAACGGAAGTCAACAACTCCATGTATGGTACGAACATCTGAAGCACCAGAGTCCGGCGACCCCTTGGACTGCAGTGTAGGAAAAGCACCTGGTGCTCCCGAGCAGGACTTAGGAAATAATTTGGCAGCCTGCAAGGATGTTTTTGAGAACGACTGTGAAGTGATTGAGGGGAAATCTTCTCCAGCCAACCCAACGAGGAAACCCCTCGGTGGTTACGAATGTAAGTACTGCCCGTTCTCCACCCAGAACCTGAACGAATTCACAGAGCATATCGACACGCAACACCCCAATGTGATTCTCAACCCCCTCTATGTATGCTCCGAATGCAACTTTACAACCAAAAAGTATGATTCCTTATCCGAGCACAACGCAAAGCTCCATCCAGGAGAAAACAATTTCAAGCTTAAGTTGATCAAGCTCAACAATCAGACTGTCTTAGAACAATCCATTGAGGGGACAGGCAATCCAGCTGTGGCTGAAACCCCTGACTACGAAGGGGTAGGCGATACAAACAAAGCAGCCCAGATCATTAACCTAGGAAAACCTAAAGGGGAGGCCAAGAAAGCTTCTGTTGACAACCATCTTGATGGGATTCCTCAACTTTTTCCAGATATCACTGAGCCAATTACTTGTATTAATGGAGCAGAAATCCTTCAAGATATTTTGGCCCATGTGATGCCCTCCGTACAGCTCCCACCAAATATCAACCTAGTTCCCAAAGTCCCCGTTCCCCTGAATAGTACCAAATACAATTCTGCACTAGACACTAATTCTACCATGATCAGCTCCTTCAACAAGTTTCCATATCCTACACAAGCAGAATTGTCATGGCTGACGGCCGCCTCCAAGCACCCCGAAGAGCAGATTCGAATTTGGTTTGCCACTCAGCGTTTGAAGCACGGCATCAGCTGGTCTCCCGAAGAGGTGGAAGAGGCAAGGAAGAAGATGTTCAATGGCACCATCCAGCCAACACACCAGACCATTGCTGTTCTCCCAGCCCATGTTGCCACAGGCAAGATGCCCCAGCCACTAATTCAGACAGCTGTGCCTTGTCAGATACTCAGTCAAACTGGCCTAGTATTGACCCAAGTCTCAAACGGATCGAACGTTTCCCCGATTACCCTTGCTGTGGCTGCCAACCAGGGTCAGAAACGGGGTGTGCAGAGCCAGCTGGCTGTCCCAGAAGCCAAACGTCAGCACGTCAACTCAACAGATGTCTTGGCCAAGCAGAACGTGTCTGCTGCTCCAGTAAGCACAGCAACAATGCCACACTCTACCGTACTGCCAACATCAACCAGCGACCGCAAAAAAACCAAGGAACAGATTGCTTCTCTGAAGGCAAGCTTCGTCGTCACCCAGTTTCCCGACGATGCAGAAGTTTACAGGTTAATTGAAGTCACTGGGCTCTCAAGGAGTGAGATCAAGAAGTGGTTCAGCGACCATCGTTACCGGAATCAGCGGGGAATTAGCCATATCACGAGTGACTCTGTAGCCAAGGACCAACTTACTCTAAGTAACGCCCGACAGGACCATCCCTATCATCCCTATCCGGATTTCATTTTCCAGCAGTTCAAAGGAAAAACGCAAAAACAAATTGCGATCCTTGAGGAAAGTTTCCTTAAAAACGCTTTCCCGACACATATCGAGTTGGAAAGACTTAGGACCGATGCCAGGATGACCAGAAGAGAGGTTGAATGCTGGTTTGCTGAGCGGAGAAAACTTAGGGATAATATGGAACAAGCTGTCTTAGACTCAATGGGATCAAGCATAAAGAATAAGGACCCAGTTGCTTCCAACGGTGCAACCAATCAAACAGAGCAGGCCAGCATTTCCCAACCTCCAACGTCTTTGCTAAAGGGCTCCACGGCCTTTGCTCCAAGCAGCCAAGAGCAGGTCCGCTTACTGAAGAATACGTTTGTTAGAACTCAGTGGCCTTCCCCACAGGAGTATGATGAATTGGCAGCTCAGACAGGACTCACCAGAACGGAAATAGTCCGTTGGTTCAAGGAGAACAGAAGCTCACTAAGAATGGGGACCTTAAAATGGCTAGAGCAGTATCAACAGCAGAGTGTCACTGATGAGTGCGCAGAAACTAAGGGTCCAAAGCTACCTGGGCCAAAGGATAATCATGATGACGTTCAGCTACCCAACAAGGAGAACCAGAAAGTTGGGAAGCTAAGCGCAGAAAGTCCAGAACAGTCTGATGTTCAGATTAGCCAAAATAGTCAGGATGGTGAAGAAAAATCAAAAGCTGGCAATGTAAATTGGGTGCAGCTGAGTATAGATGACAATGCTGCTTCAGACTGCCTAGAGAGCTGGAATGAAACGGGACCTAAAAACAAAACAGATTTTGATTCTGAAAGTATATCTGGTGATAACGCTCACACCTAGACAGGTAATAACACGGATGCTTTTGTCAGTCTAACTTTTAGCCCTGCCTCTTCCTTCCTCTTGATTTACTTTTTCTCAGTGCCAGCGTATTTTGAGCAGAGTTGTTTTTTTTTTTTTTAAAGGATGTACCCAGTGATGCTCTAGAAACAGGATCCCCCAAACTTGGTAATTTTAAGATTTGTGGACTTCAACCCCCAGAATTCCCCGCGGCTGACTGAGGAATTCTGGAAGTTGAAATCCACAGATCTTGAAAAGTTGCCAAGTTTGGAGACCTCCTGCTCTAGAAGGAAATGAATTTTGAACATGGAACCTCTCCTGACTTTAGGTCAAAAAATATTTTCAGTTTAGTTGGGTATTGCCCGTTTCAGCTGGCAAAAGAATTCGTTATGAACTAATTTGCCTTCCAAGATAAGCAATAATTGCCAAAATCCCCAGTTTTCATTTTTAAAAGAAAGCCCTGTAGCCCTTGTAGAAACAGTTATAAAGCAAAATCTGAAGTCACCTTTTCTGCCTCATATATATATATATATCATATATATATATAAAAGCCTCTTCTTGCTTTGCAGTGGTTTTTAGCCCTTGAACAAACGGTGGTAATAATTGGCACAAATACAGCCTGGGGAAGGTTTTGTTCTGTTTTGATCTTCCTTGCTGAGAAACCATTTTCAACACCTAAAAAAAGACCCTTGATTCTGAAACTGCAGCTTGTGGTATAAATACAGTTATATAGTAAATGCATTGGCTGAAAAACAAAAAGTTGGGAGAGATGATCAGAGTTGCTAAGACTTCTAAGATTGATTTTGCTTTCTCGGTTCAAAAAAAAAAGTGATCCTGCCACTGTGGGTAGGCGGATCTATTATTGTTTATTTATATATTTCATAAGGAGGGAAAGGGGGGGCTATAAAATAAGGTAGCCCATCAAGATATAAAAGTCCTCCGATGCCCTTAATGGGTAGGGAGTGGGGGAAAGAGAAATGGTTGCATGGTAATCCTGCCAAATAATCCAGTTTGTCACAACGCTGCTCAAAAATTGGTTTTCTTCTTGGGTATTGATCTTGTGTCATACCAAGTGTGGACTCTGGATCAGTCCCATGGCACTGCTGAATCCTGACAACGTTATCAGGTGTCTGTGTTACAGAATTTGATATTTAGACCCTGAATGCTTCATTGAGCCACAAATATATATAAAAAAAGATAAAAAATCCAGGTTAGCGCAGTGGTTCTTAAAGAGTCTGGAGCCAAAACCCAAACACCCACCTTCTTCTTCTTCTTTCTGTATCTGTATACCACTCTTTCTGTAGCTCGCCCTACATTGTACTACCTATTAATAGGTGGGTTGCTCTGTCACACTCGGCTTCCTCCTCTCTATGTCTGTGCTCTTTTTTTGGTTTTGTATGATCTTGCACATCTCTGTCTTCTGCCTGTGCTCAACCCCATCCCCTTGGTCGGCTCTGTCACTTTCTCAACAATCTTGACCTTCATCCTTCTTCCTTTATCTCCTATTCTTCATTCCTGGAACCCACCTTCTCCATCTGTCGTTGTGGTTACCGTTACAAGGAAGCAGAGTGTCAAATATGAATGTGTGTGTATGTGTGACCGGTGTGTGGGTATGTGTGACCATGTGTGGGGAGTGAATCCTAAGTTCAAGGTTCTCCATGTCCTTGAAGTTCAGAAGGTAGCTTTGGGCTAATTATTTTCTCCCAACAGAGCTTATCTCACAAGGGTTTTGTGGGGGATAAATTGAGGAGAGAGACTTTCCTGTCAATCTTCCTGAGCTTTCATGGAAGAAATGTATTATAAGCATTAAAAATAAATTTAAAAAAACCTTTGCATTGTGTAGTGGAGATTATACTTCTTTAAAAGAGATATGAATATAGTCTTTATTGAAAAACAGTTGTTCCTGGACACAGAAGATCTTTATAATTACAAGTTAGTCTCTAATCTTCCAGTCGTGAGTAAGGAGATTGAGAACTGAAGGCCACACAGCTCCAGATGCATGTGGAAGAAAGCGATTATCTTGTACTTATTTCCGTTTCACCCCAGATATGATTTCGAGACTTCCTTTGGTCACCCTGGTGGATGACCTAAGCCAGAAACTAAATGGAGGCAGTTTAACACAGTTGGTTCTCTTGGGTTTCTCAGTTCTAATATGTTCAATCCCAACTTTCATATCTTCTGAGACTATTTTAGATGTTTAGATGCACCCAGAAGTGGCTGTTGAGGAATTACTGTCAGCCCCTAAGTTATTGATCTGCGTTATCTCATAGGGTTCTGCCTTGTCCCTAAGCTATTTAACATCTATATGAAACCACTGAGTATAATCCTCAGAAGCTCTGGAATGGAATGCCACCAATGTGTTCATGAAGCTGTTGCTCCTTACCATTAGGAGTTTGCACCCTTGAATGTTGCTTAAATTTGATAATGATTTAATCTCCTTAGAGGAGCAGAACAAGCAGACACTAAAACCAGACAAGATACTGTTAGCAGAAAGTTGGACAAGGACTTTGGATGGGTTGCAGTCCCTCAGAAAGCTCTTTAGATGTGCCGATGACAGCTGTGGCTGTGGCAAGAAGCATATTTGCACAGCAACTAGTCAGCTATGACCCTTCCTGAACCATCCAGATGTTACATCCTGATCTTGATTATTGCAGTAAGCTTTACTTGGGATTGTCCTTGAAAAGCAACTGATGAAAAAAAATATGGTGGTTAGGTTGTTAACCAATGCATGGCATAGGGATGATACAACAGCTGTACTGAAAGACCTGCACTAGTTCTCAGTAGTTGCCTGTCAACATAATTTAATTTGCTGCAGTTGACATTGAAAACCTTATATGGCACAGAGCCACTGATTACATCTTGTATTGTAACTCTCAGGAGTTTTCCCAAAGTATGGAATTAGCCATTCAAGACTGGCTTACATCTTCAAAGACAGATTTCTCTTGCATTAAGAAATGCATTTCCTTTACATTTTAAATTCAGAGGTGTTCCCTAAAACATATTAGCAGAGGTTATACGATTTCAGTCTTTTTTATTTTTTTTTTAAAGAGCACTTTACTTTTTCATTTTGTTCCTGCAACAACTGGGCGTAGTGTTCAAAATAATGCCACAACAGTGTGGTTTGTCCACAAAAGACTAACTAGCTATCTCAGTAGAATCTGTAAGGTATATATGACTGTCACACAAAATGGTTAGATGTATATCCTGCTTTTGCTCCAGAGACATGTAAAATTATGTTCTGTGCTTAATTGTTATCTTTATTATTATTGTCATGATTAATTATCCATGATGTTGTATCATGCCACGTTTGGAGGTTTTATTTGTATCCTGTCTTTTATCATTTGTACAAATAACTCGAAGTGGCGAACATATTCAACACACCTTTTTCCTCCTATTTTCCCAACAACAACCACCCTGTGAGGTAAGTAGGGCTGAGTGAGAGGGATTAGTTCAAGGTGCCCCAGGTGGCTTTCATGGTTAAGGCAAGACTAGAACTCTCTTACTCCCGCTTTCCGGCCCAATTCCTTAACCACTAGACCAAACTCTTTTCTTCCTTGCCCATTTAATATTCATTAAATATGTTGAGTTCAGAACAGATAAAAACACTTGGTCATGTAACATATGGCTTGAACGTATGGCATTTGGTGCTATCAAATATGATGGGTCACGTATTAAATACGGACTGAATAAATGCATGGAGGATCGGACTATCAGTGATAAGAGCCGAGGTGGCGCAGTGGTTAGAGTGCAGTACTGCAGCTACTTCAGCTGACTGCTAGTTCAGCAGATCAGCAGATCAAATCTCACCGGCTCAAGGTTGACTCAGCCTTCCATCCTTCCGAGGTGGGTAAAACGAGGACCCAGATTGTTGGGGGCAATATGCTATTTAGTATACTGTCTTTGGTGTAAGCTGCCCAGAGTCCTCGGAGAGTGGGCGGCATAGAAATATGACAAATAAATAGATAGATAGATAGTCTTGGTGGCTGTGGATTGCTTCCAAAATTCTTAATTACTATCATACAGACCAACAGGAAGGGGGCATGAGTGGAACTGAGCTCTTACCCTTCTCACATGCTTATGAGTTTCCTAAATGCATCTGACTGGCTACTGAAAGCTGGACAACAGAAACCTGATCCGGGAGAGCTTTTCTTAGATTTTTGTTATTGATCCCTTTTATATCTTGCCTTTCTGCTTCTATACTCTCAATCCTGCAAGGTTGATTGAAAGTGAATGATGAAAGATTGTGATCAGCAAAAAATTCCTGGTTGAACTTCAAACCTCAATCATAGTTTCCTGGCTTTTCAGTCCAGCATCTCAACTACTACCCCGAAATGGCAGTTAAAAACAAAGCCCGTTTGCATTGCATAGAATAGAATAGAATAACAGAGTTGGAAGGGACCTTGGAGGTCTTCTAGTCCAACCCCCTGCTTAGGCAGCAAACCCTTACATCACTTCAGAGAAATGGTTATGAACATGAAACACTATTTTGGAGTATCAAAATATAATCTGATATAAAAATGCCAAACGCTAATTGTTCCGAGAAGTCACTTCCAAGCAACATGAAGACAAGATCAAGTCTAAACTTCAAAACGGTGGCATGATGGCGTGATTGGGATGTTGGGGTAGAACTGGGGAGACCAAGGGAACCCCGATAACCCTCAGCCAGGAAGCTCCCTGAAGGACTTTGGGCCTGTCGCTCTTGCTCAGCCCAGCCTAACTCACAGGATTGTAGTGAGGAAAATAGGAGAAAAGAATGTGTAAACGGTATGTGAGGATGACTTTGGGAGATGCAGCCAAGGGAACGGCCAGAGAAGAGGCAGTTTTACCTCACAGCAGGAATATGGGTGAGGCTGCAGGCTCAGAAGGGACTCTTCTTGATTTCTTGGGCTATAAAAGGGACAAGGATCAGATACATACTTTCAGACAGGCAAAATTCTGCTAGTGTAACTTTACAATCAAATAGAATTAGCTCATCTGGCCATGTTTCCTGTCTCATCTATCTCACAA